TTGGCACAGATTCCTGCTGCAAATGTAGCCCGAGAATCTCGGAGAGAAAGGGCAAGCGTCACTAGATCCCCCCCCATTACAGGCATGGAGGGATCCCTTCATCCTCGGGGGCAATGTCCTAATGCATACATAAACTCTAAAAATTTCATTGCCACAGAGTTAATCCTGACTCCTAGTGACCCAGCAGGACAAAGTAGAACTGCCCTGTTGGGTTTCTGAGACTTTAAGTCTTTATAAGAGTAGGCAGCCTCATCTGTCTTCTGAGGAGCAGCTAGTGGGTTTGAACTGCCAACTTTGTGGTGAGCAGTTCATTGGGTCACATGAAATGGGACCCAGAGCTCTTCTGCATATATGAGGGGGCTTCAAAAAGTTCCCAGAGAAATTCTATTATCTCTGAATGCCATTGTTCTAGGAAAATGGAGGCTCCTTGCAGGTCTGGTCTCCTAAGGTTTTTTAAAAAAAAATTTTTTTTAAGGGGAAGCAGCTCTCCTTTTGCATACTCTTGCCCCCAATCTGTTTATTGTTATTATTTCAAAGCTCCCTGGTGGTGCTGTGTTTTAGGCATTGGGCTGCTCACTGTCAGGTCGAGCATTCAAACTCACCAGCACTCCTCAGGGGAGAGATGCTACAAAGACTTAGAACCCAATATAGGGTTACAGAGTGGGGTGGAAATGACTCGATGGGAGTGGGTGGGAATGGTTTTAGAGACCTCACACGCAGATTTGTGCAGCTCTGGTCCTTAGGTAGGTGCGGGCAGGTGAGGCAGAGGACCTGAGCTGGGGTTTTGCCTGGTGGAACGGGGGTGGGGCACTGGACCTCCGGTCCCTTCCCACTTGTCTGCTCTTGCTTTGCGCTCACTCATCAGCCCTGCCCGTTCCTTCAGCTTCTTTGAGCTGTTTCAGAACCAGCAGCAGCAAGGAGGACCAGAGCAGGTTCTCACAAGTTTCAATATGATGTCGGAACAAGACCACACCATGGACTGTCCTGGTTCACAGAACCCTCCATTGTGGTTAATTAATCAACACATACCTGTGCTACACTCACCTCAG